GACTGTCATAATTTGATTTGTCACGGGCAACAAATTTTGTCTAGCAGGATCAGTTAATACAATATATTATTTACTTTATCACCTTTCTTCTTTAATACTACTGTGAACACCTGAGGTGAAAAAATTTGCCTATATGTGGTTATTTTGTAGATTAGCCCGCTTCCAACCCAATCATTCTGCTTGAAAATACTACTATTTTTTTTTTCCACCTGAAATTTAGAATGTATATGAAAGTACTTTACTAAATATAAACATACAATTAAACTGAGGATTTAATAATAGATTTTCAAAGTTAATTAGCTATAAAACACAATTTTTGGAACTAAATAATTACAATGGAAGTTTCAGCCAATCAGCTACAATTTGAGCTGTTTAATATTCTTGAAAAAAAAATTATTGTAAGATAAACATACAATTAAACTGAGGATTTAATAATAGATTTTCAAAGTTAATTAGCTATAAAACACAATTTTTGGAACTAAATAATTACAATGGAAGTTTCAGCCAATCAGCTACAATTTGAGCTGTTTAATATTCTTGAAAAATAAAAACCGAATTTGTGCATTTAAATATTTTTGTTTATCTTACAATAATTTTTTTTTCATTTCTTCAATTCACTGATAATTTATAATTTAAACACTTTAATAAGATTCTATATCTTTAAGAATTTAAAAAAATACAAAATATAAATTACTATCACATAATACATAAATATATTATAACATTGTATCTAATATTTTCTTCTCCTTCTCTTAGATCTCTTACTATTTTGGTGATTAGGTTGTGGGGGTGGATCATCACCATCATCATCATCATCACTTTCTTCAATATGAACTTCATGTTTATTTTTACTCTAAAATTATTATTATTAATTATTACTTAAAACAGTGTTACTTTTCATATTCTATCATATCAAACAAAATTATAGTGCGGTCAAATATAACCCAAAATAAGTGGAATAACACTGATTTTGTTATGCATTGATGAAAATTAAATTTCTCTAATAAAATTTAAACCACAGAGTCATTAACCACYATGATTATTTATTTATCAATTATTATTATATTATAAATACATACCATTACAAAAATTGTATTCAAATGTTATTTAATAAAGGTATTTAAGTTTAATTATTGTGTGTAATACACTTTTTATAATTTTATCTGATAATCAACAATAAATTTTAGACCTTTTAAGAAAATTTACTCTCTTTAGAAAGGAAAAATTATGGTCACACAAAACAAATACCAAAATAATTTCCTACTTACTTTATCCCATTCTTTTTGTAACTCATCTAGCATATTGGGAGTCAATAATCCTTGAGCTAAAAGTCTTTCCGTTAGCCTTCCCTTTCCAAAACGATTTTTGTTGAAGTTTCTTTGGTCTGCCCCTTCAAAMATTTAATTAAACAATTATAACTAAATATTTAATTCAATGCAATAACTTTAAGTTATACCTCTTAAATAGTTATGTTTATGTCTTGCAACATTGAAATCTTCTTCAATTGAATCACTACTTGGGCTAGATGATTCAGAATTCTTTAACAATCTAGTAATTTGAACCACGCCTTGTTCAATAATATCATCTAATTCTGATTGCATGTCTCTTACTAAATTTGCTTCAAGAAATAGATCAGAAAACCTATAACTATAAGATATAAAATATGTTCTGTAATTACTATAATGCAATAATAATATTTAAACAGTGAAATTGAAAAATGATACAAACCTAAACCATAAGTATAAGTCCAAAACATCAAACACTGCTTCTAAATGTACCAAGTCAATAATCGTTTTTGGAATGGTGAAAGGCCACCCAATATGTTTGCATAACCAATCAAATGTAATGGTTTCATTTTTACTATATTGTCTTGCATACTATTCAAAATAACAATTTAAACTTCCATTATACATTTGAATTTTAACTCATTAAAAAATTAGTTATCATTAATTATAAACAATAGATATTAGTACCTAACATTAATATACTTCCACCATAATATATACCTTAAGAAACATGGTACAAACAAACGGCAGTTTTCTGTTAATGGGAGCACAACAAAAAACATATCTTGCTCTTAGTGGTAATGGTACATGTTGTATCATATCAGCAAGAAATTTAAAATCTTCTATATTGCACATGAAATATAATGAATCGTCAACAGTTGACAATGAAATAAATATATCCTAATACCAAAAAAATKWATTATAAAATATATTGCATAAATGTATTCAARTTATAATTTTATTTCACTAACCACAAGATTGGATAATGTAGAATTTGGCAAATGGTATGCATATAACTCTATTTGATCAGCAGTTGGATGGAGTCCTGCTTTAAGGATAGGTTCTGGTTTTTCTGATAGTAAATTTCTTAAAGTAGGTAAGTCTTGAGGCTTAAATGTTGTTACATAGCCCTTAAATAATAATTTAAGTTAAAAAAAAAATAAWCAATGAATAATATTTATGAAATATTTTACTAACTTTTTCATATTGTGTTCCATAACGTCCTGCTCGTCCAGCAATTTGAAGTGCTTGTGACACTGAAATGGTATCCATTTCTTTTTCTCCCTTTTCATTTAATATTGGTTTTATTAATGAATAAAATATAACTCTTCTTATACTCCTAAAAATATAAAACTTTTGTTTCGGTAACTGACAATTGTACAAATGATATTTGTATAATTTACAAATTTAAACCCATTCCAATAGCATCAGTAGCAACTAGAACACTGCAAGAATTTTTAGGGTCATTAAATTTTTGTGCTTGAGCCAATTTTGTATTAGGAGGCAAACCACCATATATAACTGCTACTTCAATACCTCTAGATTCTATCCCTCGACTTACCTAAATCAGTTTATACTATTAATAATAAATCTCTCAATATCATAATTAAATATATCTAATTACCGTGTACACATCATTTTTACTGAAGCAAACAATACAATCACCAGGCATAATATTGTCTAAGGTAAAAACTGCAGAATTTTCAATAGTTAATTCAGTAAGGCGTTTATATCTATAAACCTAACAAAAATTAAGAGGAACACAAATTAAAWAAAAAACAAAATTTTTGTTTACAATACAATACCTGAACATCTTCACCAGTGGTCATCATTAAACCTTTAACCAGATCAACTGCACCTTCTTCACCACAAATATGAATTTCATTAGCCACTAAACCAAGTAGAGCTCTTGTCCAAGCCCAACCACGACTAGGATCTTTCATCATTTGAATTTCATCTATTACTGCAATATCATCTGAAATAAAAATAAACTATTAGTATCCATCATCATTATTTTTTTTTTT